ATAATAATAATAATAATAATAATAATAATAATAATAATAATAATAATAATAATAATAATAATAATAATAATAATAATAATAATAATAATAATAATAATAATAATAATAATAATAATAATAATAATAATAATAATAATAATAATAATAATAATAATAATAATAATAATAATAATAATAATAATAATAATAATAATAATAATAATAATAATAATAATAATAATAATAATAATAATAATAATAATAATAATAATAATAATAATAATAATAATAATAATAATAATAATAATAATAATAATAATAATAATAATAATAATAATAATAATAATAATAATAATAATAATAATAATAATAATAATAATAATAATAATAATAATAATAATAATAATAATTGGATTTATTACAACTGTCCGACCATATTTCGCAACAAGAAGGTGTGTTAAATGTGAAAGTGTGTTAAATGACTCATTAGCGCAATAAAGCAAGGACAACCTGACCCGGCTCATCAGCGTACTTTTACGCTTTTATTAATCTGCTAATACATGTGTCCTGCCTGGTTTGGCATCGTCTAACGGTTAACACTACCGCGCTACAATGAGTTTTTAAATAATGTTCCGTGGGAAAGAAAATAATTAACTTGAAACAATCCAAAAGTGAGAAATACAAAAAGGGTAAGGCGAATATTCTGCAAAAAATACGCAAAGAAATGTTTAAGAAATGAAAAATAATTTGAAAACAGTAAAAGAAAACAGGGAATTTTTGTTTTTCTTTTTTTTTAATAAAACTGTGGGAAGACTGCAGTAATAAATAATAAGGGAAAATCAAACAAAAACGAAAAAATAACTAAAAACTTGAATAGAACAATTCCACATCTTATGGCTGCCCTCACATTGATCAGGATTTTCCCTGAAATCGAAATTTCTGCACTCACAATTACAAGGAGGGAATAAGAAAAAGGGATAGCATGAGGGATATCTGGGGACACGCAGATCTTCCTATCAGCCTCTTTAAAATTAGATTTCGCGAATGAAATTTATATCATAATGAGCTTGCTGCGATAACTTCACTAGGTTTCATGAGGAATTCAAATGAACACCAAATCCGGCTAAACATCATCTCTTCCAATAGGCTCACTGCCCGTTCAGTGCAGACAACCTATTAATGATTCTGATTAGTTGCTTCTTGCGGGTCAACAAATTACAGAATCTTTTTGAAGCTTCTGTGGATATTTTCCCCTTTCTAAATCAGATTCTGCAGCGACTCGTACTATAGTATTTAAGACTTTTTGAAAATTTTACATTATTTAAATACTAATAGTAACAGTAACAGCAGGCAATATCGACGATGTACAGCAGTAATAAATTATGATGTAAGAAAATACAAAGGATTCACTGTTAACTGTACTAATGGCACAGTTTCATCTGCTGTCTATAAGCTGAGAGACAAAGCATCCCAGTTGTTTTTATATTTCAGATGTAAAGGAACATCAAATATGGATTGTAAAGAATTAATTGGCTGCAGGGTAAGATACAGATACACCCGGCATTTAGCAACTCTCGCCCTATTTCAAGTGCTCTGTATATATATATATATATATATATATATATATATATATATATATATATATATATATATATATATAT